TTTTGCCCCCCCCCCCCCCCCCCCATCCCCCCCCCGGTGTTTGCCATCGGGGTTTGGGTTTTCGTCGCTTGGCAACGACGTTGTAAAACAAGCCCCCCACTCGATGTTTGCCATCGGGATTGGGTTTTCGTCGCTTGGCAACGACGTTGTAAAACAAGCCAATTCACTTCGTGAACTCGGCAACCAGGTTACCGTTTTTTTTTTTTTACCTCGGTTTTTTTTTTGGCGGTAACCATAATGGTGGTCGAGTAGATCATGTTGTGCGGGGTCGAGAAACCTCACTCCGCGCAACGGGGGATGATCGCACCACGTTGTGTTAAAATGGTCAAGCTTCCTCGAGGCAATTACACAGTGCTTACAACTGTCTCTGGAAGTGAAAGCACCAGAAAATAAATTAAGTCATACGTAGCTGTCATCCGTACGCAAGGAAGTAAGCACAAGATGCCGAACACCCTTAGCAGGATGCAGCTCACCCTTCATGCGACTCGCCAAATACCTCACGGCGCTTCGCGCTTGGTGATGTGAGAGCCTGGTCCGGTGAGAACCCGGCGTGCTCCGTCCCGGCTTTGTAGGGATGCGAGGTCAATGGTCAAACAGACTACGGCATGCACGACTAAGAGTACACCCCCCCCCCCCCCCCCCCATTTTTTTTTCCTGCACAATCTGAAGAGGACTTCGTCAATCAGTGCTCACATTTCGGCGTTTTTCCTGCACAATCTGAAGAGAGAGGACGTTGTTAATCGGTGCTCACATTTCGGCGTTTTTCCTGCACAATCTGAAGAGAGAGGACGTTGTTAATCGGTGCTCACATTTCGGCGTTTTTCCTGCACAATCTGAAGAGAGAGGACGTTGTTAATCGGTGCTCGCATTTCGCCGCCCGTCCCTAGCCATCACAGCCCCAGGAATTCAATGCTGTTTTCTCGCGCAATCTATAACTTCAGGTTACAGGCGGGGTCGCACACGAGCGCTTCTATTCGAAGCCCTTTTTTTTTTCCATGATCACCCCCTGAGGTGCTTGCCTTGGCTGCGCCTAACCCATGATGCCTGGGCACAGACATCAAACACTTGCTTTTGTCCATCCCGTCTAACCAATACAAGCAAGTATTCCACACAAGATAACACCACCCGGTGATGACATTGTTGGCGTTGGTACGTGACCACGGGAGGGTTTTTCTATGGCGGGTGGTATCTTCGGTGCCGCTTTTCATCTGAGGATATGATTCAGGATTGGGTTCATGTTGAACCGCAAACATATTATCACTGGGTGATGTAGTCTGTGTGGGACGGATGGTATCCTTCGTGGGGGTGTTATCTTACGTGAAATGCTGTATGTTGATTCTCCAGTGTCCGTGCATCGCCCCGCGTGTGCTCAGCACAAGGTTGCTACTTCGGAGGGCAAAATTTGATAGCACTATGAGTACATGGCGATTTGATGCTGGACTTTTTCTTGGAGTAGAGACGAGTTTGTGTCGTTTCCGTAAGTACAAGTTTAGCACCACCGCATGTGCTTTTTGATCTTCAACGTTCGCCGCCCGAACCTGTCTCCCGGCCGCGCATCGTAATCGGAAATTTTCAGGATCCCCTATACGGTGCTTCTTCTGCTATGGGGAGGCATATTTGGCGTGCTCTTCACCGAACTGGACGAGCCTTTCAACTACGCCCTCAACAATGTGAGTACTAACATTTTCAAGAATGACAAGGGAATTTCGGGGGTTCTGTCGACATCTATGGTCAACCGCAACATATTTTCGGAGGAATGTAAGGACACGTTCTGTACGTGGCGACGAAAACGGGAGGCCGTGGGAGGTAGGGTACGGGCCTGTCGACATGGGTGTGGATTGTCATAACGAACGTGGCGAATGTGCCGACTGGTGGTCCGGGAAGTCGTGGCCAACGTCTCCGGTATGGTTTGGAAACCGTACCGAGCTATGTGGTCTGGTACGGGTGGTTGGCTGGCGCGGTGATACCCGCACCCCCACCCTTTCCGGAGCCCCGGGGAATCGGATATGGGCAAGACTGTACCCTGCCGGCATGGGTGTTTTATACATGAAGCTTACCGATATGGCCAAGAGGTTCACGCTTGTCTACCGTCCGGAACTCTCCCTTTGATGTGCCGACGCCGAGCTAGGCGCCAGTGGAATCACCTGGCAGAGAGGGAATAATCGGGGGGGGGGGGTAGTATTTTTTGTTGTGGTGCCGGTTTGTTCTTCACGCACATGCACGCCGGGCCAAGAGTGAGAGCCCCCGACTGCGGTGTACGTTTGTACATACTGCTGTGGCCGGCTTACGGGGGGCTAACCGCGATGGGCCAATATGTAACAAGATGGTTAATATCTAGGCGTTTAGTTACGAAACGGTGTGTAATTTCTCTTTGATGCCATGGGGCACGATGGTGGGAAGGAGACAGCAGCAACTGCGGTAGCAGGCACCAACAGCACCAGCACGACTGTATGGGCAGTGTAGCGCATCGGTATCAAACAGGTGCCGACATCGCCAACAAAAGCGCTCATTAATTCAGGCATTGGCAAGTGAGCACATGCTCAACAGCTGCAGCAACAACCGTGCAGAAAGATGACCGCATCACCAACAACAGCACCAACGCGATCACTAACCGCGGCAACGACAACAATCGGCGAATGGAAATCACAGGGCATTGAAGCGTGGATTCATATGGACCCACGGATCCTTCAGATTGTGTTTTTCCCCATCCTCATCTTCGCCAGCGCGTTCAACGCGCAGTTCCACATCTTGGAGCGACGTCTCGGACAGGTGAGAAGCTTGTGTGATCAACCTTGCTTTGCTGTTGCCAGACTCGTGGTCATGGGTATTGGGAGCTAAATCGGTCGTTACACGCCATATTCCGGGTGTGCTGGTTGGGGATTGGCGTGTGGAGGAGGCCTGGTCACGTGGTATGGGCTCCGACCGCTTTTTGGCGTCATCAAATGCATGAGGAATAGGGTTGTTGTTCGAACTTTTGTATCTTGGGCTACTTGTACTTCGTATGTGGTACGGATACATATTTTCAACTTGTTTCTGGATACGCATGTGCCAGTATTATATCCAGAGATTTTCCCAGCGTTGAGTCATGCCCCCCCCCCCGTCCCTCCCTCCCTCCCTCCCTCTTCTCTCTCTCTCTCTCTCTCTCTCTCTCTCTCTCGCTCGCTGTCTCTCTCTTTGTGTGTGTGTCTCTCTCTCTCTCTCCCTCCCTCCCTCTACCTCTGCCCCCCCACTCTCTCCTCGCTGCCCGCAGATTCTTTTTTTGGCGGGGCCTGGAGTTATCCTTGGAGCCGGCCTGACGGCTGTCTTCATGAAGTTCGTCCTCCCGTACGACTGGGACTGGAACCTGTCCATGGTCTTCGGGTCCATGGTAGCGGCTACCGATCCCGTCGCGGTTGTCGCCCTGCTCGAGGAGCTGGTAAGAACCCAGAAAGAAAGCCATCGTGAAGAAATATTTTGCTTTGGTTGCACCTCCTACGGTGAGTCGCATGTACCGCGGGGTGCAGGACATCTTCCGCTGAACCGAATTTCAACCCTCTATTTGTCCACGACCTCGTCGCCCTGCTCGAGGAGCTGGCGAGAAAACCAAACGAGGCCCCGTCGTGAAGAAATGTTTGGTTTTGGTTTGCGCCTCCCGCAGAGAGTCGATTGTGACGTGGGGTGCAGAACGTCTTCCACTGAACCGAATTTCACTCCCCTATTGTGTCCATGACAAAGACGCTGCCGAAGCCAAGCGGTGCGTGTTCAGAAAGCTCTCGACGGGACGGCTACGCCGCCATTTTCGGCACCGCCGCTGCTTTTGCTTCATTGAGCTTTAGAACTCAGTCGAGGGGGTGTGGTATGTTGCGAAACTAGCGGTAGGGAGTTAGATCCCAAGAGTTGTACAGTTATCCCGCTGATGTGGCTGTGCGCGAAAGAGTTGATTGTTGGTTTTTTAGCGTCGAGAAGGTCACCTTAGACTCGCTCTCTGGACACCGCTCACCCCACTCCCAACGTCGACCTTTGGGCACGTGATGAATGGGCAGGGCGTGAGTGAGAAGCTGGGCACTCTGATCGAGGGAGAGAGCCTGCTGAACGACGGGTCGGCCATCGTGGTGTTCGAGGTGTTTCTTGGTGAGAGAGTGTGTGTGTATGTGTGTGTGAGAGAGAGAGAGTGGGGGGGAGGGAGGGAGACAGAGATAGAGAAACAGAGACAGAGAGAGAGGGAGACAGAGACAGAGAGACACAAAGAGACACAGAGGGCAGAGAGGGACTAGATAGATCAAGAGGGCGACAGACAGACGCAAATGCATGGAGGGACTGAGATACAGAAGGAGAGGGCGAGAGCGGCAGAGACGCGCGCACACACAGGCAGAGGCAAGGGGAGGGGGGGCAGGGAGATATGCATATAGAGAGAGGCAGGGAGATAGACACAGGCAGAGAAATAGAGCGATAGAGGGAGCGAGGGAAATGGGGATGTGAATAAAGAAATGCAAAGGCCAGTCAAAGGTTTCTCTGAATCGTGGTGGCTGGTTAACCGTGGCTGTAGGAGCTGACGTTTTTGTCGTGAGCGGAAGGGAGAGGAGGAAAACGAGAGATGTTTGGAGCTGTCGCGAGATTGGCTAGTCGCGGTCTCCTCGGTTGTTTGTATGCACATGAGGCAATTGTTGACGGTGACGGAGAGAGGTGATGGTCTGTCTTCTTTTGTCCTGGACTACTGTTCCTTGCTTAGGGAGAGAGGTTTCGGAGAGGCGTGTAGAGCTATCCGCCGCGTGAACGGCTTCGTTCGAAGTCGAGCTCAGTGTGTACAGTACTGCCCAAACGGGATGCCACACAAAAAAAATATTTCACCCGCACTACTGGTATGAAATAATTGGAAATCGATGTCGTTGGGGTCCTCTGGCTTTTTGAGAAAACACACTGTGTTGACGTCCCCCCCCCCCCCCCCCCCCCCCTATTCCCCACAAAGCCATCTCCACTCCCCCCCC